TGGATAATGATGTGGCAATCTTGGAAAAGTTGGCCACAAAATGCTATTAATACGATATAAAACCAAGGAAACTGTAGACTTCTAATTTGGTCATGGGTTGAGGCTAGTCTTGCACCATTTGAATTTTTGCAGGGTCAGTAGAAACTCCATCTTCCCCCACAATATGAATGAGAAATTCAATTTGCATGTACATTTCCCTGGTTTTTACTTCAAGCCTGGCTTTCTTATCTTTTGAAATACTATGTTCACATTTTCAGCAGCAAACTTGAACTTGTGGCCCAATACCAAGTCATCATTGACATAGAGCAGGCATTGTTATCATTGTTCCCTTAGTGTAATTTCCACTATCCTCTCAGGCCAAATGATAGAGCATGTAACACATACATGTTCTGAAAGAAAGCATTCTTAGGTTTACTTTCCTCATCCAATCCGACTTACCAGTATACAGATGTCAGACCTAAAGTGTTGAATCACTAGACAATTTTCAATGCATCCAGACTTTAAAATGAAAAGGTATCAGTACTAGACATAGCGTTCATATATCTAACGTCAACATGGAATCTTGACGTGTCCTCTTTCTTCCTGACAATCACTAGAGGAGTCAACCATGCGCTCTGTGAAGGCTATTATAATCCTGTTCTTTAACGTCCAATGCATCTAAACACCGGTTATATCCCTGGTGCTCCAGGGAATCTTGCACATTGGTTATTTAATTTTACATCATTGCATCTATGTATGTTATTACGAATTACGATTTAGTAGAAATATATAAATAAAATTAGAAATTAACTTGAAACTATACTGATAGAACTTAGAATTGGCTCTCTCTAAGTTGAGACCTTCAAGTCAATACATATTGAATGTTATTTACCTAACACTGAGAAAGTAAAACACGTGTAGTATCAATAGGGGCTGAGAAACATAAAACTTCTGGTATCCCAAACACAAAATTGGTTAGACAAAGGAAAGTAAGTGTAAACTATTCTTGTTTCGTTGTTCATAGTTGCAGCTTGGAGAAGTTCACAAACCAGAGCAGTAACTAACAATATTTTTACTAAGAAAGTGAAAAATATAAACATATATTACACAGTTTGTTTGTTTGTTTTGAATTTCGCACAAAACTACACGAGGGCTATCTGCCCTAGCCATCCCTAAT